CATCCACCCCAGCCTTTTAACTGGAAGCCAGCACTGCTATGAAGCTGTGGCCAGTGCCCAGTACTGGTGCTGTACCCAGGGCAAGCTGGGCCTTGTGGCAGGGAGCAGCAGCCATGCTGTCTTCACTTGCCAATTCTGTAGCCTGATTCTGGGCACTTCTTGGCTTCAAAGCCTTAGAGCCTAGTTCTTGGGCACCTTCAGAGATTCTGTGAGCTCCAAGCAGGCAGTGTTGGTTTCTGTTGCTTGCCATTAAAAACCCAACTAATGAAGAAATTGGTACCAGAGTGCTTGTAGACTCTCAGAGAAATTGGGTGGGGGAGGCGTGCGACTGTCTGTTTAGCCTTTTGAAACTGATGGTAGAGAAAATGCATGTAGTATTAGGGCATAAGACTCAGATAAATGGGCCCTGTTTGCAGCCAATTATTTGCAAACAGCGGCAAAACAAGTCAACAAGAACACCCGGGTCACCTGGAATTAAAAGCAAGTCTTTAGAAGGATGGTCGTGGTCGAGGGACATATACTGGGTGTGAAGAGTTCAAGGACTGTAGGTGGTGTAGTTTCTTCTGACAGTGCTGGCTGCCTGGCAGCTCTCTTTGGATTTGGAAGACTATATGTACCACATTTGTATGTGCTGCTTTAACCCATTTGCGAGTGACCTGAAAGCTTGCTAACGCTGAACCATAATGCCGAGCAGAAGGTTCTTCAGCAGGTCCAAGCTGCAGTGCAAAAAGCTCTGCTAGTTGGTCCTCATGACCCAGTGTATCCAACGGTGCTCTGTGTACAGCCACATACTGGCATGCTGTACAGAGCCTGCGACAAGACCCCAAAGGAGCATTACTGTTGTTGTACTTAGGGTTTTGGAACAAAGCCTTGATCTCTTTGGCTAATTACTATTTTTCTTTTTGGAAACTGCTCTTAGTTTGCCCCTGGGCCCTGGCAAAGATTGAAAGCCAGGTGACCACATACCTGTGTGGCTTATCATGAACTGAGTATCTGTTCTATTTAGCCATAAAATGGTCAGTAGCACTCCCTTCCCCAAGAGGACACAGTATTTATAAGAGCAGGCCTGAGCAGGTCCTGGAGACGCTCAGGAGTGCAACTCGCAGTACATTTACTCCCATTTCACTGCCACCCCTCCGTCCATTCACAATGGCCTTATGGAGAACTCCCCATGACCAGGAGACTATGGAGGACAACCTCTGAGCTTGGTTTACAGATAGTATCTGCTGGAAGTGGACTGCTACAGTGTGCAGCTGCACTTTGGAGGGGTCTTGAATAGCAGCTGCAAAAAGAAATCCTCCCAGTGGACAGATGTTTGAGTTGTACTCTTGTGGTTCTCTTTGTCATGAGAAAGACTTTACCAATTCATGAGCCAGGTGGACATGGACTTAGTTTGGTGACAAGGTTTGGAAGAGAGGATGTAGAAGAACCTTTTGGAATAGACCTAGAAAGTGAAAGGATTTGTGTCCCATATGAATACTTATCAAAATGTCCTCACCACTAAGGAAGCTTTAATAAGTGGACAAAAATTGCCACCTGTGGGCGTAGGTCAGGCTCTTTCCCTAGTCAAGCCAGTGCCTGCCTATTGAGATCATGAACAAAGTGGCCATGAGGCTAGGACATGGGGTTATGATGGGCTCTACATGGGCTTCTGTGCAAGCCTGACCTGTTATTGCCACTGCTGAGTGCCCATGTCAGAAGGAATCATTGTAATGGACTTCCTCTATCATAGTGGGGACAGTAAGTCAACATCATTGGGAAGAGGTTTAAACTGAGTTTGGATCTGCTTTTCCCAGTAGCCAAGCTTTTACCAGCATCACTCTACATGGGTTTATTCAATACCTAATTCTCCATCATGGTATCTTACATATCATGGCATCTGGCCAAGGAACTAACTTTACAGTGAAAGAGGGACTGACCTATTAGACTCACTAGCCTTATTATACCTCAATAACCAGAAGTGGCCGGCTTTATGGAACAGGGGGATGGCCCATAGGACACGTGGCTACTGAGCCAGATAGAAGGAAACAAGCTTGAGAGCTAAATGAGCCAGTGTCAGTTTTTCTGTTGCTTACAACTAAAAACTCTACATAATACAAAAACACCCCTCACTGAGCCATCTATTGTAAATTTTTTGGTAAATAGGTTTCCTCCACTAATAGATTGTAAACTTTGAAGGTTGTCCCCACTTCTAATATCTTTGTGTTCCCTATAGTACATAGCACTGTACATAGTGTAGGGTACAGGCTGCAAACTTGTAGACTCTGGGCTGTATCTGGAGTACCTATATTTTGATCAATCTTAAATTTTTTAAAAAATTGACTTAGTTGTCAACATTTAAAAATCAAAAGATTTCCTATGAAATCCCCTTTTCCACTCTCGAAAAATTTGAAGATCTGGCCATTTTAGGCCTGCATTCTCATAGCTGCTCTCTGCAAACAAAACATGGGCACTTCCATTTGCCAAAAGTCCTCATCTTGCCCACTTTATTTACTTTAATTACTTACCTGGTCCCTGGAGGCATACGTTTGCCACTCTTGGTACTCAACTGAACTGCAGTGAATAAATTTGGCAATGAGTGCTTGTATTTTAGTTTTCATCTCACATGTGTTCTATTCTCCTACCTTGATTGTAATAAGCCATTTGGTGGACAGAATCTTGTTAACTATTTTTCTTTAAATTACTTCTTGGTTGTCACATATTCCTTTCTCATCCCCAGAGCTGGCCTTGGCTACCCTGGGTTGAATCCTCCTGATCTGGTCTGGGAGTGCCGGATATTTCATCACTCTGATTCGTTCCCTGGGCTAAGCTGAGACCTGGTGACTCGTCAGGTAGAGAAATTAAAATGATTTCCCAGCAATACAAACATACGACATTGGGAAATACATTTTAGGCGAGATGCCATCTTTTCTACTGCAAAGGAGAGACAGTCAAGTCCTTGCTGAGGTAGGTGGTGAGCCCCTAGCTGGGGCGCTGGGAACGGAGATGGAGACTGGAATGTCGTTGCGTTCTGGAGTTCATCCGAGGCTTTTCGGGAGGGGATTCTATGCAACAAGCTCCAGAGTGACCCTCCCTCTGGGTGTGGCAGCCCAGGGTGTGGGTCCTGGCAAAGTCCCAGAGCAGTTGTCACTGGGATCAATTTCAGTACTCTAGAAAAACCTAAGAAAACTTCTGGAGTTTCCCAATTTCGGGGGCTCGTCTCCCCGCCCCCCAGTTAATTTCCCACCGTCGCCGGCGCTGCCCAGTGCCCTCGGTCTCTCGGGTCACCCTCTTCCGCGACACCCTCTCGGGCTCTATCGGCCTCAGTTTCCCCACGGGAGCGCGAGGGGGATGAAATTTGGGGGCTCCCCTGCCCTGCCCCCCGAGCCGAGGAGGAGGTCCTTCCGAGTTTGGGCTCCAGCGGG